CTCTCTCTCTCTCTCTCTCTCTCTCTCTCTCTCTCTCTCTCTCTCTCTCTCTCTGTGATTCTGCGGATTTTCCTTCGTCGACTGCTATGTCATTTCGTCAACCGCGATCCCTTGGTCCTGAAAGATATTGTCGTGTCAGAGGATATCATTTACAAGAGGTATATCTCACCATGAATATCTCCCTTACGAATAGCTTTCTTGTCTCTCCATGCTTGGAATTCTGGCAACAATTTTCATTTTCGTATTACTTTGTTACTGTGTTATACAAGTAATTTCTTTCTCGCGCCATCTTAAAGATAATATTTTATAATAGAAAGATATACGTATATATTTTTATATACTACTAGATTTTTAAAATATCCAATTTAGGTCGTAAAATTAGAATTTAGAATTTTCAGATCTTCGTTTTTAAATCGCTTCAGAATCAGATAGAATCAATTTTTAAATCCTAAATTCTAAGATTTTAATCTAAAGATATTCGTTAGATGGAATGATTTTCAATAGAAATGAAATTTGCACTCTTGTATTCTTCTCTTCGTTTATAAAGGGAAACGTGTAACGATACATAGGGGAATGCTCGACCTGGTATTCGTATATTACAGAAATCAGCGAGGGAATCGATGGCTCGACGATTGACTCGATAAGCCGACGCTTTTGAGGATCGAGCGCGGCAATGGTGCAACACGATGCACATTATGCGATTGAATCAGCACGATAATCTCGATTGAACGTGGCCACTGTCTGCATACGTAGCCGAATATTGCAGTTGCGTTGCATGGTTCCGCAGCGGGTGGTAGGCTCCTCCAATATCGAGCTTACAGCTTCGAGCTAATATAAGCCGATTCCTGTTCTAATGATAGTTTTATTCGCACGTTGTTGTTGGAAAGAATTTGGCCTGATTACTTCTTTCACCAAACACTGGTTTTATCATTCTGAGATAAAAATTCCACTTGTTATATATTTGTAGGTCTCTGGCTAATTTCTATAATTAATTTTGTTTTATTATTATTACACGATTTTATTATATCTTTAATTTGAATTATTTTTCAATTTTTAAATTTCATCGACATGGATCATAGAGCAATTGTTACTTACTAGATCTTGATGGGGAGTAAAAATTGCAAATTGTCTGTAATAGAAAATTACACACACGTTTTTCTATTTTCTTATTTGATTCATTCTTTGCAGCCTATTTAATAATTTAAGAAATTAGAGGATAATGGATCGTTTATAGGATAATCTCAAAAAATCTCTCTTTTCGTTCTTCCATCTTTCCTTTTATCATTTATATATTAATTTGTTTTATCTTCAAAATCCCTCGTTTTAAATCCTGAATTTTTAATCTCCGAAATTGTAATATCCATATAAAAATAAATTAATTTACATAATGACGTACACGTGTTTAATACAATCTCTTATGAATACAATTTTCGAATTAATTCTCCCAATGAAAATATTCTTTTATGACATTAGAAGCTTTTTTCTTCTAAAAAAAAACGTCGTTTAGTAATTAATTAGCATTAATCGAACAATCCAGTATAAAAAATGAGATTAAAAGGAGAAAAATTCAAATTATTCTCGTTTATTTCTTTTTCTTTCTCTCTCTCTCTCAACGTCCCAAGTGTAATTACCCAAAGATCTAACGTAATGATCCAAGTATCTGAGACAAGGAAACCGTGGTGGCTTACTTGGAGAATATGGGTCAGTAAATCGCGTGCGAAATTGCGGTTCCACGACCAATCAACCCTAATCCAGTTCCCGTTCTCGTACACTTGATTCCTTAACTTCAACGTCGATCTTTCAGGCTACGTTTAACCGGCCGTTTTCGTCGCACAGCTTTAATCCTGTGACAGCGATCTACGAGGCGAGGCAGGAAGTAGGAAAATTCGAGACCGTTGCGATACCAGTTGGCACGCGATCAAACAATCCACTGGCTCGTGTCGTGCGCCTCTCTTTTCTGTGTTTTCTGCGTTTTCTTCCGCATCGTTGAGAGTGATGTATTTTCTTCCGCGTCTCCTATTGAAATTCCCGAGAAGAATCGGGTTTGATAACGCGAAACACGTTTCTTCTTTAATTACCTTACTTTTTAATTTATGCCAAGTGTTAATCTTTGCGTCTTTTGTTTCGCTTTGCAGGTAAGGTACCATTCACGGTTGCACGGTTGTATATATTTCACAATGGTACAGCAGTGTTGTAAGTTTTCTTAACAAAATATTTATTTATTAAATTTTGAATTATTATCGTTATTGAAAATTTATCAAAAATTTATCACCTTGCGTGTTAGCATAAAATTAAAAATCTTATCTTCCCTTCCAACAAATTTTCAAATTTAATAGTATCATCCTTATCTGCCATTTTTATTTATATTATTTATTTATTATTATATATTATTATTTATTTATATTTCTTTCGATTTATATCGTAAATATAAAATTTTATCACATAAAGGTATCAATGAAAGGAGAAATTGAATAATCCAAGGTGAAAAGTGTAGCAGGAAATAGGAAGAACGATGTATTTGGGAATCAGTCATCAGAGATTGCATAGGATCGATAAATTTGCATACCACGCGTTACCTTTTAATTTCACGAATCCGGGGGTAGAATAACGAGTGGTGGAGGGTCGTCTCGATTATCGGACCCGTAATTTTCGAGCAATGTTTGCGGAATACAGGAACAAGCGAGCTACGACCCCGCGCCAAAAGTGGGTTAGAGCAATTGTGACGTCACTCTGCGGCAACCTAGTTACCTCGTCCACCTCCTCCTCTTTTACGCGGTATCATCGAGGCTACCTATAGCCAACACTGCGGTAAAATAACGAGTTATCATGTCAACTATCGTTCAAGAGTCGAGATTCTTTCATCGAACCTCGTATGCGTTGTTGGCGTTGTGCGAGAGCCAAATTCGTCGAAATTGTTATCTTTATTGGCTATTTTGTCCTCAGCATTATGAATCAATAGTTTTGTCAGTGTAAATTTTTGGACTTTGATTTTGAATTGTGGATTTGATAAAATTTGATAAGTTTGAGTTACTTTCTTCTTGATGAGTTGACAATCTATTTTTGAAATATTGAATTAAGAAATCTTCAGGAGATATTGATTATACACAGCTTGTTTTCTGGATAATAGAAACGCAAAACGATTTCATTTCCCTTTTTTCAATTGTTCGATATATCTATGTACACTGGTGGTTAATAAAATTTTATTTGTTATTCAACTTCGATTCTTTATTCTCAATCGATTTCTTCCTTTTCTTTCATTAACTTCTTTTTTCTTAGATAGACTCTTAATATCTATTTACTCAAAAATTAAATAATTTAATTCATTATCTTATAAGATATCCGACAAGAAGAAAAATGATTGTTTTATTAAATAAAAAAATCCATTTTCTTTCTCATCTTCTTTTTTCAATTTGCAATTTTTGCACCTCTGTAAACCATCATTAAAAAAAAGTTACAAGAAGATATAAGAAATTTGATT